ATCGTGACTCGCGGGTGGCAGTCAGCAGGAATTCAGCTTCAGCAGCCTTTGCAGAACTCTTTTTCAGCTGGGTTGTGTCTGAACGCCAAGAATCTCCGCTAGGCAGGGTCCATTCCGACGACCAGATGTGTTCCCGCTGGATCTCACATTCCTTTGGCCTTGCGCCCGCCACCGGAGCTACCGACACCACACAGTCTATCGAGGCTATGGCCTGTGCTCCATCCCCCGATATAGTAGCTGTGGTTTCGGTGCTGGTGACAGGTTCCTCCTTTTTCTCCATCATGGGTCTTCCCTGAGACTTTGTCAACCAGAGCTCAGCACCCTGTGAATTTAAAATAAATGTGAGTCTTGGGTTAATGTCATGGTTCCGATAGATGAAACCATTTAAAAGAACTTCAAGGCAAAAATTTCTTCCTTAAAGAACATTTTATTTAGGAAACAAAATATCGGCACGTACATAGGTGAACCCAAGAGTAAAAATCCTCTCCTCCTGGTTACAAAGTTACAATTGCAATTCCCACCCCAAATTGCTGCCATAAATCACATTCACCAATTGTTACAAAATGCGGGCTGTCCTTCCAGCTCTCCAGCCCGCCAAAATGTTATCAGCACTGACCTTGGTTCTCACACATATGAATTGTTTTGGCTAACTGAGAACTACACATCCGCCCCCTTCCTCCTTCATCTAAAATCTCTAAACTAAAATGTGGCAACGAAGACAAAATGAAAATGGCTTCAGTTTGGTTTGTCACAGCGTTGACACAACGCCACTGAAAAAAGTGACTCGCGACTGGTTTTTGCACTCAACAACCGTTGCAGCATCCCTGTGGTCACGTGATCAAAATTCGGACGCTTGGCAACTGGTATGTACTTATTTATTCTGAAAATTTGTATTGTATTGCCGCCTACTTGCTCACAGGCGACTTGAGGCGGCTTACAGGAAATGAAAACACAGTATCAAGGAAATAAAAATAATAAAACAAATAAAATAATCACCCCCACTTCCTCTGGCACTGAACCCCAGCAACAACAAACACTCATACCAGCCATTTCATGGGCTCCGTCCCGCTCTGGGTTCCCCAGGGCCGCTGGCAGAACCAGGGACTTCCGAAAGAGGGTCAGAGTGGGGGTACGGTCTAATTTCCGGAGGGATGGTTTTCCTGAGGGAGGGAGCCACCACGGAGAAGGTCCTTCTTCTGGGTCCTGCCAGATGGACCTCTGTAGGGGACAGGACCCCTCAACATTCCTTGCCTCCCCGCTCTAGTGGGTCGGGCGGACGCAACCAGCAAGAGACAGCCCCTCAGATAATCCAGTCCAAGCCATGAAGGGCTTATAGGTGACAACCAGCAACTTGAATTGCACCCAGAAGCAAATCAGCCAGCGACACAGCTCCCGCAGGAGAGGTGACCCACATGCACATCAAGGTCTGCACAAGATCGTGCAGGCCACTGCATTTTGCACCAACTGACGTTTCCAGATGCTTTTCAAGGGTAGCCCCATGAAGAGCACGTTGCAATAGTCAAGACGGGAGGGCATGAGTGACCATGAGGAGGGATTGTTGGTCCAGGAAAGGGATTAACTGGCACACAACCCGCAGTTATGCAAAGCCCTCATGGCCAGGACTTTGAGCGGGAATGGCGAGTCCAGGAGACCCCCCAGATTATGCACTGGGTCTATTTGGGGCAGTGCCCCCCATCCAAGGCCAAAGGCGGCAATTCTCCATGGACCAAGGAACCCCAAACTCGGAGCCACTCGGTCTTGCCAGGGTTCAGTTTGCGACGGTTGCAGTGCCCAGGGTCACGTGATCACCGTTTGCGACTTTCCCAGCCGGCTTCCTACAAACAAGAGTCATTGGGGGGAAGTCGGACTGCATGATTGGCTTAACGGTCTTCCTTAGCAACAGAAATTCTGCTCTGAATTGTGGCTGTAAGTCGAGGACCCCCCCCCCCCAGCTGTTCTGGGTCTCCGTGTGAAGCACGCATCTGTTTAGAGTAGGGGTCCTCAACCCCTAGCTGGCTGAAAAATTCTGGGAGCTGAAGTCCAGAAGTCTTAAAGTTGCCAAGGTTGCAGACCCCTGCCCTAGGGAGACCCCAGCTGGGCACCCTGAGCACAATTCCAGGCGCCTTTGCAGAAGAAAAATATTAACAGGCATCAATAAAGGAGAATACAGATAGTCCTCAGTTAGTGACCATTCAAAGTTACAATGGCACTGAAAAAAAGTTTTGACCGTTCTTCACACTCACCATTGGTGCATCCCTCCCCCCCATAGTCACCTGATTTCAATTTGGACAATTGGCAACTGGCTCCTATTTATGACGGTCGCAGTGTCCTCTTTTGAGACCTTCTGACACGCAAAGTCAATGGGGGAAGCCAGATTCACTTAACAACCGGGCAACTAACTTAACAACTGTGGAAAGAAAGGTCGTAAAATGGGGGGAAACTCACTTAACACGTTTCTCACCTAGCAACATGAATTTTGGGCTCAATTGTGGCCTTTTAAGTAGCTCAGCGTTGAAATCGGGGGGCGGGGGTTCTTTGTTTTCTTACAATTTCGTTACCCAAATCAGAAGTGGGGAACTATGGCGCTTTTATGACTTGTGGACTTCAACTCCCAGAATTCCTTGCTGGCTCAGGAATTCTGGGAATTGAAGTCCACAAGTCATAAAAGGGCCATTGTTTCCCACCCATGACCCAAAAGACTTGATGACGTGCACAGAGGATGCTCTCCAGTTGGGTGACGAAACATCTGCGAGAGAAAAAAAACCAAGTTCAAAAGCGTCAAGGACCCCACTGTCCTCCTCCTCCTCCTTCTCCAAGTGATCATGTTCCCCAGTTGGGTCATGAAATGTCTGCGACAGGGAAAAAAACAAGTTTGAAGAAGAGCAAGGACTCCACAGTGCTCTTCCTCCTCCTTCTCCTCCTCCTCCTCCCTGCAACCGTCCCCCGCTCCCTTCTAGCAGCGATGATGTTCCCTAGTTGGGTCATGAAACGTCTGCAAGAAAACATCCAATCTTAGAGAGCACTGAGGACCCCATAGATAATTCTTCTCCTCCTCCTCCTCCTCCTCCACAAACCCCACTCCCTTCTAGCACTGATGACATTCCCTACTTGGGTCATGAAACATCTGCAAGAAAACATCCAATCTTAGAGAGCACCGAGGACCCCATATATTATTATTATTATTATTATTATTATTATTCTTCTTCTTCTTCTTCTTCTTCTTCTTCTTCTTCTTCTTCTTCTTCTTCTTCTTCTTCTTCTTCTTCTTCTTCTTCTTCTTCTTCTTCTTCTTCTTCTTCTTCTTCTTCTTCTTCTTCTTCTTCTTCCTCCTCCTCCTCCTCCTCCTCCTCCTCCTCCTCCAACCCCACTCCCTTCTAGCACTGATGACATTCCCTACTTGGGTCATGAAACATCTGCAAGAAAACATCCAATCTTAGAGAGCACTGAGGACCCAATAGATCAGTGGTGGCGAACCTATGGCACGGGTGCCAGAGGCGGCACTCAGAGCCCTCTCTGTGGGCACGCGCGTCGTCACCCCAGTCCTAGGCCTTCAGCTGGGTTTTATAAAACCTTTTCTCTTTAGGCCTCCGCTAAAGAGAAAATCAGTTCAATCAGTCAATTTCAACTTCTCGCGAAAAAAAAAAGTTCTTGCAAAGTTGGAATTGATTGATTGAACTTTTTAGTCCCACCCAGTCTGCCGTTACCACCGCAGCCACGCCCACCCAATGGGCCACACCCACCCAATGCGCCACACCCACCCAGCACTCAACGATACATAAGTGGGTTTTGGGTTGCAGTTTGGGCACTCGGTCTCTAAAAGGTTCGCCATCACTGCAATAGATGATGATGATGATTATTATTATTATTATTATTCTTTCTTCTTCTTCTTCTTCTTCTTCTTCTTCTTCCTTCTTCTCCTTCTCTTCTTCTTCTCCTTCTTCTTCTCCTCCTCCTTCTTCTTCCTCCTCCTCCTCCTCCTCCAATCTAACACTGATGACATTCCCAACCCCTCTCTCTTCTAACACTGATGACATTCCCTACTTGGGTCATGAAACGTCTGCAAGAAAACATCCAGTCTTAGAGAGCACCGAGGACCCCATAGATTCTTCCTCCTCCTTTCCACAAACCTCACTCCCTTCTAGCACTGATAACATTCCCTACTTGGGTCATGAAACGTCTACAAGAAAACAAGCAAGCAAGCTCAGAGATCAATGAAGACCCCGGAATCCTCCTCCTCTCTCTCTTCTTCGTTTCCCCCCCCTTTCATTCCTTCCTCTTCCCCTCCTCCTCCTCCCCCTCCTCCTCCTCCCTCCTAACACTGATTATGTTCTCTACTCGGGTCATGAAACGTCTACAAGAAAACAAGCAAGCTCAGAGATCAATGAAGACCCCAGAATCCTCCTCCTCCTCTCTCTCTTCTTCGTCTTCCCCCCTTCATTCCTTCCTTCCTTCCTTCCTTCCTTCCTTCCTTCCTTCCTTCCTCCTCCTCCTCCTAGCCCTGATGACGTTCCCCAGCTGGGTCCTGAAACGTCTGCGAGGAAGGAAAAAGCCCACCCTCCAGGAAAGGATCGCCAGGCTCAGAGACCCCCCCGCCGGGACCCCCCCCCCGAGTTTGCCAGCTTGGGACGAGAGCGACGGAAACGTTATTTCATTTTGATTAATCGCGCACGCCGCCCTTCTGGCTGCGCGCTGCATCTTCCCGGGAACGACCGACCCGGGTCTGGGCTCAGTCGGCCGTGTGAATTCGGCCCCGGGCAACGCCGCGAGAAGCCCCGCTGCCCACCCCGGGCTGCCCCCCCCCCCCGGAGACCCTCGGGACGGGCTGGCCGTCGGGAGAGCGAGCGCAGCCCCGCCGCCTCAGCCGCGCCCAAGATGGCGCGCCCGGAAGCGCCCGCCGCGCGCTTCCGGTGGGCGTGGCCGGGAGTCCCCGCCCGCTCCCCGCTTGGCTGAGGCAGTGGCGGCGGCGGAGCCGAGCCGAGCGGAGCCGAGCGGATCCCGCCATGGGGAACTGCCACACGGTGGGGCCCAACGAGGCGCTCGTCGTCTCAGGTAGGCCGCCCGGAGGGGAGGGGGCGCGTCGGGGCGGGACGCGTGTCGGGGGAGAGGGGGGGAGAGACGCGCGTCACGTGTGAATCCGGCGCAGCTGCCTTCGCGTGTTCTTCGGGAAGCGGCTTGGACCCGGCTGGGTTGGGACCCGGCGCCCCCCCCCTCTCCTCGGGGTTTGCAAGCAGGAGACACCCCCCTCCCGGGCAATTTCGAGAGGTCGGGGGTCCCAGGGGCCCTTTTGCTCCTCCCTGCCCCCCCCCGCCGCCCCCCCTCTGTGTCCTTAGGGGAGGGGGATCTTATCCCCCTTTGGGGAGGGGAGGGGGACCTTGCGCCCCATTTGGGGGGAGGGGGAGAGGGAGGGGGAATTTTATCCCTCTTTGGGGAGGGG